AAAAAAAAAAAAAAAAAAAAAAAAAAAAAAAAAAAAAAAAAAAAAAAAAAAAAAACAAGTCTTTAAAACATTGACCTAAGTAAAAGCAACGAAATAAATCATATCCTAAATTTCTTGTTTCTCTTTACTTTCCTCTTGTAATTAGCTCTCGACATAAAGCAAAATCTTCATCCCTTTAGATAAAATTAAAGACAGGTCTAAAACATTCATGTTATTCAGTGTTATAGATTGACAATGTTCTAAAAAAATTGGGCGTTCACTCAAAAGCTTCACGTACCCTTCTCAGATCAGAAGAGAAAACAATATCAGTTAAATTTGTCTTCAAATCCAACAACTAGCTCGACAATTTGGAGATATATTATCAATGTAAGAATGGTAAGATAAAATAATTTAGCTATTCTGCATAGTATAGCAAACAATAGCTAAATGCCAAACTAAGAGAATGACACCAAAATAAGCTATTTCATAAAGAAGTTAGATATATAGGGGGTGGATTGCCCTATCTTTTGACAGCTTTATTGAACTTGTTCTTTTTGCAGTTTTATCCTGGTGTAAATGACATATCCATTAATTTTTACAGCCCCACTCATCTTGTTATCGGATGGAGAAGTTTTGTAATCAACCCTTGGTGGTTTGAAGGCCCTTCCTACCGTTAATATAAATCATGGTATATGAAATTCCGCTGCAGTGTCGATCTACATGTACAGTTCAAAAGAGAAAGAACAAATTTTATGCTGAACAGTGAGAATTTTCTAGACAAATCAAAAATCAAAAGGTCACTTTTTCTATCATAGCGTATAAGTTAAAGAAAGGACTTACTTGATCGTTCATGATTTCATTCAGCTTAAGTTCTAGCTTCAGCATATGGAGATCAATTCTATTTCTGGTAACTGAATCCCAAATACGTATCATAGCCTTCCAGACATTACATAGCGTTCTCTGGGCAACCAGAAAAAGGCCAAAATGTTAACTAGTCATCCACGGGGAAGTTGTGACACCATTGACAACTACGAATGAGACACAAAGCACCAATTCGCAGGGAGATCCACAATAAATATCATGAAATAAACAAACACATACAGGATATTTCAATTTCAAAACTAACTTGATAGCAACTGTTTCTTTTTTTTTTCATACAGATTTTCTATCTATAACCAACTGGAGAAAAAAGAACTTTCTAATACAAAGAAAATATTACTCGGAGTTGAATCACAAGTAATTTAAGTTACTGACACATGTTAAAAGGTATTTACTTCTCCCTATTGAACAATGGAATGATAGTGCATCAATTTTAGAGTCGTCCAACTGTCAGGATGATTAGGCATCATCCAAAAATGGTTAAAGGGAATTAATCTTAAATATAGGATATAATACATAATATATGAGCTAAATAATAAGAAAGTTTAGCTAAGGGATACAAAATATTATAAGTACCGCAACCTCTAACTCTAAAAGACACAATGTTCTTTTATTACATCAAAAGATGAAGGAGAACCATGCACTTGGTTACAAATATAGCTATATGAGCAAAAGAAAACGTCCCTGGGCGCTGGTGAAAAGTTTATGTAACTTAATAGTTTTAGAACCATACGACCGTCACATTATGATGATAACAACCGTAAGCAAAAAAGGAACTTCAATCAGATAGATAATAAAGAAAAAGTTACTGAATTCTACAAATGTAAGATGCACACCTCTGCATCAACTTTATGCATGTCATGTATAGCTTCTGCTCGTGCATTGGAAAATCTCCATTGCATATATCTATTATATAATAGCCGCAGCTGGTGAGAATCTTCGATATAATTAGCGCCCTTTTTACCCTTAAAATCTGCAATGAAACTGAGCACCGAAGTTGAACTATTGGATTGAATGGAATTAGTTGGTCTGATTCGAGATGGACTGACACCCCTAGGAGGAGGAGTTGATGGCCTTGGCCGGGCTGGACTTGATCCTCTAGAAACAGAGGAGGATGGCACTGACGTTCTAATGGGCGAAGGTAGACGCAATCCAGGTAATGTCAAAGACTGAGATCTGACAGCTGGTGTTGATTTTAACCTATCTGGTAAGCCGTTAGAAGCAAGCCTAGGAGTTCCTGGTGAACAATCTTCAACTATATTTGTTTCATCTTCCCTTCTAAGACCATCGAGGGGAATAATCCTCGAAGAATCATTATCAGAGATCAAGAGTTTATTTAGAGAATCAGATGAACTTCTCAATGAAGGTAACCCAATTCCTGGGTGTGGTCTCAGAGAGCTCCGAATTATTTTATCAGTAAGATCCACACTTCGACTTAATGCATTTAATGATATCTTCCTACCAATTCCTGATGCCTGCAATGAACAATCATCAACTGAATTTGTTTCATCTTCTATTCTAAGATCATCATCAAGTGGAAGAATCTTGGAAGAATCATTATCAGATCTCTGCAAGAGTGTGTTTATAGAATCAGATGAAGTTCTTTTCAATGGAGGTAACCCAATTTCCGGAGGTGGTCCAGGAGGGCTCTGAATTATTTTATCAATAAGATCTACACTTCGACTTAATGCATTTAATGATATCTTCCTACCAATTCCTGATGCCTGCAATGAACAATCGTCAACTGAATTTGTTTCATCTTCCATTCTAAGACCATCATCAAGTGGAAGAATCCTGGAAGAATCATTATCAGATCTCTGCAAGAGTTTGTTTATTGAATCAGATGAAATTTTTCTCGATGAAGGTAACCCAATTCCTGGAAGTGGTCCAAGAGAGCTCCGAATTATTTTATCGGTATGATCCATACTTCGACTTGATGCATTTAATGATATCTTCCTACCAATTCTGGATGCCTGCAATGAACAATCGTCAACTGAATTTGTTCCATCTTCCATTCTAAGACCATCATCAAGTGGAAGAATCCGGGAAGAATCATTATCAGATCTCTGCAAGAGTTTGTTTATTGGACCAGATGAAGTTCTTCTCGATGAAGGTAACCTAATTTTTGGAAGTGGTTCAGGAAGGCTCCGAATTATTTTATCGGTATGATCAATGCTTCGACTTAATGCATTTAATGATATCTTCCTACCAATTCTGGATGCCTGCAATGAACCATCATCAACTGAATTTGTTCCATCTTCCATTCTAAGACCATCATCAAGTGGAAGAATCCTGGAAGAATCATTATTAGATATCGGCAAGAGTTTGTTTATAGAATCAGATGAAGTTCTTCTCAATGGAAGTGGTCTAGGAGAGCTCTGAATTATTTTATCAGTATGATCCACACTTCGATTTAATGCATTTAATGATATCTTCCTACCAATTTCTGATGCTTGCAATGAACAATCGTCAACTGAATTTGTTCCATCTTCCATTCTAAGACCATCATCAAGTGGAAGAATCCTGGAAGAATCATTATTAGATCTTGGCAAGAGTTTGTTGATAGAATCAGATGAAGTTCTTCTCAATGGAAGTGGTCCAGGAGAGCTCCGAATTATTTTATCAGTATGATCCACACTTCGACTAAATGCATTTAATGATATCTTCCTACCAATTCCTGATGCTTGCAATGAACCATCGTCAACTGAATTTGTTCCATCTTCCATTCTAAGACCATCAACTGAATTTGTTCCATCTTCCATTCTAAGACCATCAACTGAATTTGTTCCATCTTCCATTTTAAGACCATCATCAAGTAGAAGAATCTTGGAAGAATCATTATTAGATCTCGGCAAGAGTTTGTTTATAGAATCAGATGAAGTTCTTCTCAATGAAGGTAACCCAATTCCTAGAAGTGGTCCAGGGGAGCTCCGAATTATTTTATCACTATGATCCACACTTCGACTTAATGTATTTAATGATATCTTCTTACCAATTCCTGATGCATGAAATGAACCATCGTCAACTGAATTGGTTCCATCTTCCATTCTAAGACCATCATCAAGTGGAAGAATCTTGGAAGAATCATTATTAGATCTCGGCAAGAGTTTGTTTATAGAATCAGATGAAGTTCTTCTCAATGAAGGTGACCCAATTCCTGGAAGTGGTCCAAGAGAGTGTCGAATTATTTTATCGGTATGATCCACACTTCGACTTAATGCATTTAATGATATCTTCTTACCAATTCTTGATGTCTGCAATGAACCATCGCCGACTGAATTTGTTCCATCTTCCATTCTAATACCATCATCAAGTGGAAGAATCCTGGAAGAATCATTATTAGATTTCGGCAAGAGTTTGTTTATAGAATCAGATGAAGTTCTTCTCAATGGAAGTGGTCCAGGAGAGCTCCGAATTATTTTATCAGTATGATCCACACTTCGACTTAATGCATTTAATGATATCTTCCTACCAATTCCTGATGTCTGCAATGAACAATTGTCAATTGAATTTGTTCCCTCTTCCATTCTAAGACCATCATCAAGTGGAAGAATCCCGAAAGAATCATTATTAGATCTCGGCAAGAATTTGTTTATAGAATCAGATGAAGTTCTTCTCAATGAAGGTAACCCAATTCCTGAAAGTGGTCTAGGAGAGCTCCGAATTATTTTATCAGTATGATCCCCATTTCGACTTAATGCATTTAATGATATCTTCCTACCAATTCCTGGTGCCTGCAGTGAACAATCGTCAACGGAATTTGTTCCATCTTCCATTCTAAGACCATCATCAAGAGGAAGAATCTTGGAAGAATCATTATTGGATCTTGGCAAGAGTTTGTTTATAGAATCAGATGAAGTTCTTCTCAATGAAGGTAACCCAATTCCGGGAAGTGGTCCAGGAGAGCTCCGAATTATTTTATCAGTAAGATCCCCACTTCGACTCAATGCATTTAATGATATCTTCCTACCAATTCTACTCGCCCGCCTCTGATCTATAAGCCGGGTATGCAAGCCATCAATTGGCTTAGAATTCTCCAGCTGGTCAGGCACATTCTTTCCTTTAAGAGGACTCCTCTTTCGCTCTGGTGTAGGTTTCCTTGAAACCATAGGCGTTTCAACCAGTTTGTGAGCGAAATTTGACGACGGCCTCAACGTCCGATCAGAAGGAGATGCAGGGACTGGTTTTTCCTTCTTACTAACAGGAATAGAAATTATGTCAGACTGGAAAGAGACACTCAAACTCCGCATGGTCGAAGGCCATAAACTTTCCGCCGATCGACCGCCTGCTGTTCTCCTTGAAGACAATCTCAAATCAGAAGATAAGTCATGGTCCGAAGTTGATGGACTCGTCGGGGAAGGAGGCGTGGAAGGTCGTTTCCTCTCAGCCGACAGGGCTCTTTTCTGCTCCAATTGGGAGGAAGCAGACAAAGTTCTGGAGGCGTTCGGCGACTGGCAGCGCCGAGGTGAGGAAGGGGCTGAGGGAATAGGTGACTTGTATCTAGAACTAACTTCCCTCATCCGAGAGCGACGAGTGGCGAGTACATTGCTTCTCTCAGCCAGACCCAGTGGAAGCCTCGGGGTTTCCCCTGTTGAATGATTCCTTATTGAATCTGATTCAAATATATCCATCCACACAATCAAAATCAGACCACATCGATGAAAATCTTCATATCAGAACACATCCGGCGATCATGAATTTCTTCACTCATCCCGCAATCAACTGAATAATACCAACTGCAAAAAGGGGAGAAAGTTCTCTGCATCATTTCTGTCACTGCTGCACAACCAAAAGTGAAAACGGTACAGATTGCTAGAGATTATGAAAAGTAAACCCCACAAACAAAAAGAAAAGGAAAGAAAAGCATACATCTTTACACACCCCAGATCTTGCTGAATAAAAATCTGGTAATAACAGCAAAATAACGCAAATGGGTGCTTTCCCTTCAAGAAAACCCCAAACCGAACGAGATCAAGCAATAACAAGGAGGTCAGGAACGCGTTACAGAACATTTGATATAATACAATGGGTAGCGGAAAACAGCGAAAACTGCCACAACACGAATAAGCAGTTACAGTGGGAGGTTGATTTTGGTGGTAAACCACACTTTAGCGGTTATGGGGTAGAGGTCCCCTTGGGACTTGAGGGAGACCAGGGCAAGTGGGTTTTAGTTTCTTAAGTGGTGGAATTGTAGGATACGTCCTAAGAGGGAGTGCACTGTAAATGACTTTTAAAATACATTTCGGGCCATGAGTTTTTTCACGGGAAGGCCAAGGTCAGATGGGATGGAAATAGGTTTCACACTTAACCTACTGCCCACTCATCTTCTTTCTCTGTACTCTTTTTCACCAAGAAAAGACAGCAGCTTCAAAACTGGCAAAACATAGAAAATCTCTCTCTCTCTCTCTTCGGCCTCGATATAAGATTGGGTAAAAAGAAGTTTCTATCTAACAACTTGACCTTCATAAATGATCAAAGTTTTAACAAAACTTAAAACTGTTTTGTTCCTTTTGTAATCATGGATTTGTAGATAGTAATTTCAATATACACTTAATTCTGATCTTGAAAAAAAGTTAGGAACAGCAAATCTAAAGAAAAAAGGTTCAAAAATCACTCGAACACAAAACTTCTCCGATTCTTACTCTTAACCTATCTATTTGTCCTTATGTCCAAGTTCAGCAGATGAAATTAAACGACACAATTTGTTGTATACACGAAGTTAAACTTGGTATTGTTATTATAATGGCAGAACTTCGAGGTACAAACATTTGCCATCCCCATGAGTTCTACAGAAGTTTTCAAACAAAATCCGAGAAAGATAAAAACTAAGCAGAAAAATTGGTTACATAGGATTTAATTGAAGAGTTATAAAGAGAAAAATCTTCAGAAGTCGATTTAGAATCGTGAACTGTACAACAAAAGAAGAGCGAAATTGGAAACTGTTTACGGGAAAATTTCTCAAAGAAATTATCAGAGATAAATCAGAGGTGGAGGATGTCTGTAATTTGAAGGTAACAGATTGTGTTTGATGGAGTAGAGAAAGTCTGGTTTCCTACTGTTCATGACAATCTCTCTGCAGGAAAAGTTAAAGGAATCTCAGAGATAACCTAAAGGGAGAGACAGAGTTCGTCCGACTCCAAAAACATTCAGAATCTCTTTACTAAAAAACAACGTAATCGACAGTGAGTACCATTAACCAACCGTCTTCAATTAAAACTTTCGCCGTCTTTTTCCTCATTCGGTGATCCACAGAAAGAGGACGAACCAATGAGCAAACTTCCTCTTTCGATTACAAAATGGATCAAAAAAAGAAAGGAAAAAAAAACGCCTCAATTGCGACAAAATTGCAATCTCTTAAACCAAAAGCATTTCCAGAATTCCTAAAATTCCAACAACCAAATTATCAATCGATTCAATCAAGAATCTCCAAGCAAAACACAAAAACAACCAGAAATCAAACTCTAGAAAGCGAGTGAGAGATTTATCACCTACGAACTGAAGCTCCAAACTCCTCTTCCAGTGAAAACAAATCAACCAAGAACATGACAACGAAAATCCAAATCACCTCGATCTCTTGAGGAATTCATTCAACCACAACAGGTAAGACAAATCGTCGAAGAGGCAGAGATTGACAGCAAAATCGTCGCCAGCCGTCAGATCGTTGGAAAATTTCAAATTCGTTAGTGGTCGACGGAGAGTGAAAGTAAATCAACGAAATTAATCATAATTAAAAAGAATTTGAAGAAATTTATTGGGAAGAAATGAATTAAGAAATCGATGGGCGAAGTTTAAACGAATAATTTAATAATTATTATAATTATTAAGAGGGAAAAAACGGTTTTTGTTGGAAATTTCGCGGTGGGGACCCGCCGGTGGTCGTTGTTTTGGCGCCACCACCTTCGAATTTTTATCATTTTTATAATTAATAAAAATACTTCTAAAAAAATATTAATTAATATTCCAACCCCTAAAAATAATTTTTTTAATACGTCAATAAAATTTTTAAAATTTTTATTAATACTTTTCAAATTTTTTTAAAAAATAAAAACGTTGTTCTATATTTTAAAAAATATTTATAAAATTTTAAAAATAAAATTAACAACAATTTTTTTTAATTAAAATTTGAAATGATTTCCCCTTCTCTTAAAAATCTCAACCGTCCCCAATTTCCACTCAACACTAACAAAAGAATCGAGCATAGTTCAACTAATTAAAACTTATTTAATCTCGACCCAAACATGAAAATTTCGTGTTGATCGAGCATAATTCAACTAATTAAGACATATATTCTTAACTCGAGCATAGCTCAACTAATGAAGACATATATATTCCTAATCCAGACATGAAACAGGTCGTGTGGATTGAGCATAGTTCAACTAATGAAGACATAGACCCAGACATGAATTCGAATTTCTCTGATTTCACCGATGGTTCGATGTAAATAAAAATCCCGAACAAAAAGAACATCTTACACTCTTACGTTCTACAAAAAGGCAATAGATTTAGGAATCCACTTTAGGTGCAATGCATTTGGAGCTCACATGCCTTTATGGACAAATCTTTATTATTCTTGTATATCAAAAAATAGGGCTTATTAGGGTTTCCACATGCCCATGACTTAGACATTACCTATGTAATGGAACTTTCTTCTCACATTGTGGGCCCTTCATCATCTTTTATGGGTACCCAATTATTTTGTTTTCCTTTTTTGGTCATTATTAATATTTTTTTAATGATTAGCTAACGTGCTTACATAATTCAATGTTATCGATATCGAAAATTTAATTAAAAAATAGCGGAGAATATAAATTTTAGATTTAAGCACTTTTAATCACCTGAAACACGAAATAATTTAAAAAGTTTACAAAAAAAAAAAATAAAGTTTTAATCGAGAAAGTTTCATTGGTTAAGTTAGCACCCTAAAAAAACGTGCTGGTTAAAAAATACGGAATAAAAAATTGAGAGCTAGTTATGAGTCGATGCTTTATAGATGTTTTTTTTAGTAATGCTCCTAACGAAATTTGTTTAACGTCCCTTTACGATTTTTTCACGAACCCAATGAAGAAAAAGAATGGACTAAAGTGAGGACTGAGAGTCCATTGGCCGCTATAGAGACGATGATCACCGTCTTTCATGACCTAACATGGACATTTCTCCTTTATTAGTGCTAGAAGGGTGTTAGTTAGATAGCTTTTTCATCATCCATGTCGTAGCGTTCGTGTTTTTTTACGATGAAACAGTGGATTGGTTTAGGGTTTAAGGTTTAGGCCATTCTCTTTGACTCGTTTGTAGTTGAGGCACGTTTTTCATTTTTATCATCCACGTTATAGGCTCGTTTAATTGCACTAACAACACGTTAATTGCAATTTTAAAATCATAGTTTCATGTCCAAAAATCTTTCAAAATGCACGTAATTGAATCGGTCCATATATTAGAAGATTGTTTCCAGTTCAAGTTGTGATTATACCGTCTTAATGTCCTACAACTGATATATGACATGTCTAAAAGAGTTAACTCGACCCTATTAACATATGAAAAATATCCGTAAACTTTAAAATATATATATATATATATATATATATATTATTATTATTATTATTATTATTATTATTTGGTTTGTCCAAAGACAAATAATTAAAAAATAACAACTAGGTGGCATTTGTTTCATTAAAAATCTCTAATAAAAAAACACTTCTTTTATTTTGTTATCTATTGTCGGTGATTTAAAAAAATTAAACCCAATTTTAAAAATTAAAAAAAATAATAAAAGTACTTTTTAAAATTTTTATTTTATTTTAGAATTTAGTTAAGAATTTAAATATCTTAAATTATATATATATATATATCATGATAAATAAGAACTAAAAGCAAAAAATAAGGCAACTTATTTGAATGGTCTATCCTAGTAATATTGTCGTACCCTTATTATTAGTCTAATTAGTATAATACAATGGATATTTAAGCAATAATAGGAAAGGTTAAAACTCTTTAATTAACAAGCTTTCGTTCATTAACGGTAGATCAATTGTAATAATTTAAGCTTACTGCTAGCAGATATTGTCCACTTTGACTCGATATGTATTGTAGTAAGCCTCACGATTTTAAAACACGTCTACTATGGATAGAATCTAGCTCTACTCTGACTAGTGTCGCGCACCGTTCGGTGAGGAGCTCTAATACCATTTTATAACATCTCAAGCCCAAAGTGGACATTATCTGCTTGTAGTGGACTTGAGTTGTTACATCAATCCACTAAAGACAGTAGAGTTACACTTTTATGTACGATAAAATAAATTGTGTCCATAGACATTATCTGCATGTAATTACAACGGATTCAAAAAGTCTATTTTATCCTTTGATTTGTTCTCTCTCACTCAATGAATTATATCTGATTCTAAAGTTCTAATGAAATTTACATTTAACTTTGTTTGGACTATTGAGTTGACTCGGACAAAAATGAATTTTAACCTAATTTCATGTTTTAAGACTACAAATTTATCGTGTTAATATAAAGTATTTTAACATAATTAAAAAGTTTAAACGGGACTAATTTATCAGTTTAAATATATGTTTTAAAAAAATTAAAATTATCTATCGACATTTACATTTTTATAGATGTTTTGTTTTGCAAGATCTCATATATACAAACAAACCAAAAAAATATACTGATATTTTACATCAATAAATGTCTTTAAAAAGTCGAGCGTTTTTTAAAAATAATTACAAATGCTAATTTTTTATTAGTATAGTTCCAAAGAAAATACTTTGAAAAATGTCTCTAGCTAGATAAATAGGTAAAAATAAAAAGAAAAAGAAATTAATTTTTATTATTTAAATTTTGAAAAAATGATATTTAATGGCAACTCAGGTTGGTGGACGTATGCCATTTCCACTCTTATGCAAATGATAATTAAAAATATTGTCTTATCCTTAAGAAAGTTCCTACCAAACAATGAGTAACAGATCAACAGTGTCATATTTATACTCAACTTTAAGATACTCACGAGATTGATGGTTGAAAATCATATACTACCCACAATAGAGATCAAATTTTCAGTCCTTATCAATTGTCAGAATCAACATTACGAGATTCGTAGAAATCGTTTGCGTGAGAGGGAAACGAAATATTCCTTATAAGGGTGTGAAAACCTCTCCCTAGTAGACGCGTTTTAAGATCGTAAAGTTGAAGACGATACGTAACGAGCCAAACCAAACAATATCTACTAATAGTGGACTTTGACCGTTACAAATAATATCAGAGTCACACCAAACGATGTGTCAGCGAGAACGTTGGGTCCCTAAGAGGTGGATTGTGAGATCCTACTTCGGTTGGATAAAGGAACGAAATGTTCCTTATGAGGATGTGGAAACCTCTCACTAGTAGACGCGTATTAAACTTGTA